ATTTTGCCAGTTCTGTAAAGGTAAAACGCACACAGACACTTGCAAGACAAACTTACGTGATTCATGTTCCTCTAGAGTGTAGAGCTCCTCACTGCTGCTCTTAGACGGACTTAACTGCGTAGAAAAAGAGAAGTTCAGCAGTTCACTCTGGTTTTACTGAAATATCGTTCTCCTATCGATGCGCATTATGTGCTGTATTTATTGTTGCTCCCAGATAAAGTCCTTGAAACTTTCATACACTGAGAAAACATGACATGGATTTCCTTAAAGTCTGGTTTTTCTGAGAGCAGGAATGCCCGCCTGTTATGGCGCATAAAAGGAAAGGTATTAAGCAGCTTTCTTTGAGCACATTTAGTTTAACTGAGTTGAACAGTGGGAAAGTCCAGCAACATACCAAGGCAAAGATGAGTCTCGCAGCTAGACACACTGAGTCAGTGGGAAGTCTGGGTAGGAGGCTCTGCAGACATTTACACTCTCTCTTATGGCCTGACCATGCTTGTTTCTGCAGAAGGAGGATATAAATACACTGATGTATACAGACACATCCATCATAGCCATTATTACCCCGGCTACAAGCCATAAACAAAGTGTACACTTTAAAATGTAATGATTTACATTATGAGAACTTGATTTTTGTCCCCAAAAGATTAAAACACACAAACACAGACACTGTACCTGGCAAGCAGTATTGCAGTAGCGAGCCGTCTTGCACTGGGAACACCTCAACAAGCTCTCACGTCTAGACAGAAGGAATTTTTGAAAAGTTGTGTTAATTCTGCGCACATTCTTAACTAAAAAGAAGAAAGTGTGGAATTAAAGACATAAAATATTCAAAGGCTGAATCACTGTCTTTAAAAAAAACAAACAAACAAAAACGCTCCAGCTGAGAGAAGAAAGTGCTAGAGATGACTTAAAAGGTCTTGGTGGCCTGGAATGGGACCAGGATTTTAGATGTCGAAACTTGCGATGCCAGTCTTCCTGTACTGACAGACAGTTGTAGTGTTTGAACAAAAACATTCAGCTGTTCCATATATGTTAAACACTTTTTGAGACGGTTAAAATTCAGCATCACCAAACAAATCCCTAAATCAGCTCAAGCATACTTCTGTCATTGTGCTGACCTTTCACCGTGAAAGGATGTCGTCTTATCTTTTTCTATTCATCGCATTAAACTGACTGTGTGCATCCATTATCTCACTTTATCTGTCTACCCATCTCCAATTCGATTGTCGTTTAAGGGCAATACTTTAGGTGCACTCTCCTCACCGTCACCATCGGTTAGTCTCACCACATCACATAACTTGCCTGTGTCGGAACAGCGACATGTGACAGCTGTGCGTCCACTTGTGGTGGTGTTTGTGTGTATTTTTGTGAGTATGCGTATGCCTCCGAGGTCTGCTGCGTTTCTCTGAGTGATACTGCTGTCCTTTCCACTTTGTCTGTCAGCCTGATAACAAGCCGGAGCACCGCAGTGTCAGCCTGCTTCATGAGGCCAATTACAGCCAGTAGTGGGGGCATCACTAAAACACACAAGTTGTGACTCACAGGAATCTTTTCAGTGTGTGTGTGTATGAGTGCATACACATAAGTCAATGTAGGCTATTCAAATCAATTATTTATTATACTTGCAAATGTCTTGAGCCATCCCTCATTTCTTTATGTTTTACTAGGAAAATGAGAAATAGGTGCAGTGATTTATTTTTTAAGTAGTTTTCAGGAAAAGTTCTCCAGGTTTCTTGGAGGACATTCAAAGCTCTTCTTTGAATGTTGTTGCCTTTTGTTCTGTTCCCTGTCAAGATGATCGCAATGCTTGAGCAATATTGCGGTCTGGGCTCTGGAGAGGCCAATCCATGACTTACAGTGTCCCCTTGTGTTTTTTCTATCCAAGTATGGTTTTATTGAATTAGCACAGTGTGATTGGGATCATTGTCATACTGAAAAATCTTTTTAATAAATATATATCTTATGTATTTTTATTATTTAATTCCAGTGCACACCAATTTGCGTTTTAAGGTGCTTTATAAATAAGGATGGATGGAAAATTTAAGCTGTTGCCAATCAGATCCTTCCCAGATGGTTTTGCATGGTGGATCAAAACCTGACAGAACTATTCTGCATTCAAAATTCCAGCACCAGTGGCTGAAATTCAGCCCCAAACCATCACAGACCCTCAGTTTTGCAGACACTCACAGTTGTAGCTCTCTCCTGACCTCCTCTGTAGATATGGATGATTTGAACCAAACATTTCTAAATGTATCACTTCATTAGGCCAGTTAAATTTCCATCCAGTTCTTGTGTAATTTGGCACACTGCCCCCTTTTCTAACCATTTCCCTTCCTTAACAAAAGGTGGTTTCTTGACAGTCACCGTTCCACTGAGACATTTTTGATGACGCTTCAGTAAACAGCAAACTGAAGGGCCAGATGCATCTCTCAGGTACTCTGTCAGGTTTTTAATGGATTTCTTTAGTATTTCTTAAGGACATGACCTTCAGATAGTGTTCATCTGCTGTACGTAGCTTTTTAGGCCTGCCTCTTCTTTTTTTTGTCTTCCACTTGACCAGTTTCCAAGGTCAGCAAGCTTGGTTAGCAAGATGTATTGATAAACTGTATGGCTGCAATGCACAGACACAGATACCTGTTAATAAGTGCTAAGTATTTCATGTCGGGGAAAATGGATCAAAAAGTAAAATACCTGCCTGACCTGTCACATGGGAGGAAAACAGATTGAAGTGAGTATCAGAAAACATTTCTACACGGTGCTACAGATTTAAAATGTACCATCAGCTCCAAAAGTCTGATTCTGAAAGTCAGATTTTACTTTTTCTCGAATTAAGTCATTTTTAATCCCACTGAAAGAAAATCTTTGTGTCACATCTTATACTTAAAGGCGCAGGTTTATTCACACTGTAGTTCTCAGACTTCTACGCAGGATTAATTTTACAGCCAAGGAGCTCATTGCTTATTTTCTACAAAAGAAGATAAAATTTAAAAAAAAAAAAGAGAGACAGTAAAAAAAAAAAAAACAACACAAAAAAACCCTCTAACTCTATGGTAGACCAGTGTATGACAGACACATGCTTCATGAAATCATGAAACAAATGACAAAGCAGAGTGCTTAGAACCTAGCATTCATTTGTTAAAGGATTTCTTCACATTACCAACAATGGAGCATAAGCACTGACAGCCGAACACCCCAAGGCTGGTTTAGCGTGAGCTAATATACAATAATAAGTTGCAAGTCTTTATGGATTTATCATATAATAAGAAAAGAAAATAGAGAAAATAATAAAATCCTACTAATTAAATCTGACATTGGATGGTGTTATGAGCTCACACATGAAATATGAGATAATGGAAAAAAATGTTATGATGGATTTAAATACATTAAGCCGGGGCTTATCTTACTGAAAGCAGCACATTTGATTAGATTGGACATGCTGGACCTATGAATGTAGTAGATGACATTAGAAAGAGCTTAAAGGCAAAATCTGAAATGTAATATAAACAAATGCGGCGCAGGTCTGACCAAAGGCTGTTGAGCGTCAACATTAGTGACAGAAGTTAAGTGTTTCCTGTGAGCGTTTCATCTATCAGCGTGTGACCAGACTCGATTGTTGTATTTGGCTCAAGGCGCCTTCAGTCTTGTACAAGTTTCCAAAACACTCTTCTCTTTCCTGTTCTCCCCTCCCTGCTCCCTAGATTCTGCATTTTACAGCTGTCCTTCCCATCTGTCTTCCCCCACCCCACCCCCCAACCCCTTTTTTGTTATGCTGCTGTGTCCTATTTGCCTTTCCAGCTTGGAACTCAACCCTAAATTTATAGTTTCACCCTGGGACAGAGTTTCGTGAAAGCAGAGTTATTCTTGTCATGTTGAGACCAACCAGAAACACGGAAGCCACCCACAGTACATGAAACACATGCCTGGAGTCTGAGACACAGAGTAGTAACAACAGATAGGATAAGGGCAAACCTAAACACAGACAGATCATAACTAAAAGCTGCAAGGCACAGGAAATCCATCCATCTTCCACAGGCCAAAGAGCAATCCTGATGACAATCCCATTTTTTTAAACTTCTGTACTTGTTTCCTTTCACTGTTACCCCTCGGACGCTGCACATTGTAGAAGCTACACTGCATGTTCATGTACAGCATATATTAGGCAATTTTCCATTATAAGGTAAACAATGACATCACGTGTTCAATATCTGTTTCAAATTGAATTCCATCATAATCATGTAACCAAATCATTTATTATGTGATTTGTTCATATTTTTGCAGGCTAGAAAACCATTGAATAAGCTAAACAATCTCTGGGAATGATTGGTTTCTGAATTATTATATTAGATGATTTTTTTTGTCTTTTAAAATTTCATTTCACCTGCTTTGTGCTGGGAAACAATAACATCTTGATTAAAAAAAAGAAGAAGAGAGAACTGTTTTAAGGAGGACCTGTTGTGATTTTCAGCTCTATATTTTTATTCTTCTCATTTTTTTATTTTTTTTTATGCCCCCTTCACCCTTCTTTAAAGCCAGATTTCTTCTGATTGGCTACCACAGGCAAACAAAAGAAAACACAGAAAACCAAAAGGCCCCTTTAAGTCTTTTAACACTTCATCATACTATGTTTGAATCTTAAGTCAGAACAAAATTTATAGTGACAACAGATAAAACACTGGCCACTGACATGCTTAAATCAAAAAAAAAAAAAAGGATGTGATTTTTGCTATTTTACATTTTTACACCAACACACCAAGTCAAATGATTAAGATGTGTTTGAAGCAACAAAAGCACTGAATTAACGGTTTAGGAATTACGGCCATTTTTATGCATAACCACCAATTTTTAGCATCTCAAAAGTAATTTGACTACTGACTGAAACTGTTTGAAAGCATACTCCAAAAAGCAAAATGACACCAGAATTTCTTACAGCAAAAAATGGGCTATTCTTCAACAGCCAGGTCAGTCATCTGATCTCAGCCCAATAAAACATGCTTTTCAGATACTTAAGACAAAGCTGAAGGCAGAGAATCGTAAAGCAGCTGCAGACGTGTGCAGTAACGGCCTCGCAGAAACCTTAAGGGAGGAAAACACAGCATTTGGTGATGTCCATGACTATTAAAAATATTTCTTATAATTAAAATGCTGCTAGTTTGTTCAATTACTTTTGTACCTCAGAAATTGGGGGACTATTTATAAAAATGGCTGTAATCCCTAAACATTTAATTAAATATTTGATTAGACCTCTTTAATTAAAGCTGTCTGTATTGCGATCACGTTTTTGATTGATTTTAATGTGTAGTGATGTAGAAAGGCATAATTACAAAAAGATCCATATGGGCCTCTCTGAATACATCAATACACAATCCTAACATTTAGAGAGTACATTTGCGCACAAAGGTTGGTAGTGTGATACTGTACTGTAAGATGAAAAGGAATAGCATTTCAAATGACCAATATCAACATAAAAATCTGTCAAACAAAACGAGACAAAAGGTCACTGAGAAAAGTGAACCGCATGCAGAGATGGGACAACAGATAGAAATCCAGACAGCTTATCAGTAGCAGTATAAATGTACAGCTGCAGCACAGAAACTGCTGTTATGGTGATCGCCTAAAGGCTGATAAACACTTAGCACTGACTCAGACATGAGCACCAAGAACAGATACGGTCACATGATCCAGGTATTCCAGCAGGACTGAAGACGCTTTATCTTGGCTGAAGGTAATTGAATATTT